GGGTTTCCGAGGGTGTAAATCCTTACGGGAGTAGAAAGCCTCATCTTTCTCCCGCGGAGCGGCTGGTAGTTTCGAACCGCTGACCTTAAGGTTCGCAGCCTGATTCGTAACCACTACGCTAACCAAAAAGTGATCTGCTCAGCTCTCCTCGTGACTACAGGGGAGTGCAGTAGTGGTGAGATGGCAGACTTTTGTAATCAAGGTGAACAAAGCAAACTACTGGCAATTTTTGATGCTGCTTTGTTATCAAAATGTTTCTCTTAGATAATACATAGTGACATTTCTGTGGTTGTGTTCCTTAGAATTCCTGCTTTCAAAGGACAAAATCAGGGCAAGAATCCTTACAGAGTTCTCATTGAACAAATAAAGAAAGCCAATATATCTCAGGCAACTTCAGCATCACATGTGGGGCAATTGTAATTAGTGCACAATACAATGATACAATATACAATGAACAGGTTTTTCTGCAAATGTTTATTTAGAAAGATTTTTGTGAACTGTAAGGTGGCTGTGGGTATGGCAATTTCTTTAGGTGAAAAAAGCACTAATAGTCACTATGGAAACCAAGATACAGGCAGCGAGAAGTAAAATCAGACCTATACGGCAGTATTTTGATTGTTTCTCTTGTTTTTCTTCCTTTTTCAATAAGGTGTCAAATCCTGGCGTGTACATGTCTCCCAACCAAAACCTTAGGTCATTAGGATTTTCCTGAAACATACATACAAACAAACAAAAAATGAGATGAAGAAGACAATTAATCAAATCAGATTAATTAAAATAATAGAACAGTATACTGTCAGAGGTACTGAAGGTCCTTATTTATACTTTTCTAGGTAGGATCAGCACTGGATGGTGTGAACTGCAAGATCAGCAGTTCAAACCCAACAGCCGTTCCTTGGGAAATTTACAAAAGGGCTGCTATGAGTTGGAATAGTTCCACCCTGCTATTTTGACTTTTCTGTATTATCTTGGCTCTTGCTACTCTTTCTGGCAAAAGCATCTCCCCAGTCACACAAACCATCTGTATCTTTGTATTTCTATATGTCCTCTAGCCCAGTATAAGTGAACCTTAGCATGAAGTGTGTTTCTAATCAGATGCAATTTTGTCCCCTGATGAATCTTATAACATTCTATACTCTACAGTAACCTTCCTTTATATTGTGCTATGGTGATGGTAGTTGTATGCCACAGAGTCAGTTCCAATGCACAGAGACAAAGTACAGGGTTTCCAAAGCTGTAAATCTTTACAGGAGCAGAAAGCCTCATCAGTCTCCTGTGGAGTGACTGGTAAATTCCAATTACTCATCTTGTAATTAGCAGCCTAACTCGTAATCCACTATACTACCAGGGCTCCTTGTGTTATGCTATGTTGTTGTTAAGTGGCCTGAAGTCGGTTTTGACTCACAGCAACCCTGTATAGGATTTCCATGGAGTGACTGGTAAGTTTGAATCATCAATCCTGTGGTTCTAACTGACCTTGCAGTGTAGTGCTTTATCCTACGGCACCATACTATTTGCTCAGTTTGATAATTCAAGGATAACAAAAGTAATATTCATCTCAATTATCCCCTCTTCATGTATATAATTAGCAAAGGTAAGAATCGGGGCAGGGGGGTGGCTAAGATGTGGCTAAGAAATGTTAACACAATAAGATGAATTTTTGTAGTAGCAGAAGGTGACTTATTAGAGTTGCTGATCCTAAGAAGCCTGCCCAAAAAAACCCCACAGGATTATTGTTTTTATAGAGAAGCACTACCAGATGGATACAGAAGAATCACATTGACTACAGCTGTGGGAAAAGACAATGGAGAATCTTTTCAATATCATCAGTGAAAACAAGGCCAGGGCCAACTGTGACACAAACCATCAATTGCTCCTATGTAAATTCAAACTGAAACTGAAGAAAATTAAACCCATTAGAATCAAAATATGCCTTATGTGTATCTGAACTGAATTTAGAGCCCATCTCAAGAACAGCTTTGATGCATTAAACACTAATGACCAAAGACCAGAAGAGTTGTGTGATGACATCAAGAACATCATAAATGAAGAAAATAAAAAGTAATTTAAAAGACAAAAATCCTTGTCAGAAGAGACTCTGAAACGTGTTCTTACACATGGAGAAGTTAAGAAGAAATGATGAAATAAAAGAACTGAACAGAAAATTTCTAAGGGCAGTTTAAGAAGACAAAGTCTGATATTGAAATGTACAAAGACCTGGTTAGAAAACCAAAAGGGAAGAATACACTCAACATTTCTCAAGCTAAAATAACTGAAAAAAAAATTCAAGCCTAAGGTTGCAAGACTAAAGAATTCCATGGATTAAATATTGAATGACACAGGAAGCATCCAAAGAAAATGGAAGGAATACAGGATCATAGTATCCAAAAGAGTTGATCAATGTTCAGTCATTTTGAGAGGTAGCATATGATCAAGAATTGATGATAATGAAGGAAGAAGTTCAAACAGTGCTGAAGGCATTGGTGAAAAACAAGGCTCCAGGAACCAATGGAATACAAACTGAAATGTTTTAACAAACTGATGCAGGACTGGAGGCACTCACTTATCTATGTCAAGAAATTTGGAAAAGAGCTACCTAGTCAACTGAATGGAAGAGACCTATATTTGGATCTATTTCCAAGAAAGGTGACACAATGGATTGTAGAAATCTTTGAACAACATCATTAATTTCATATGTAAGTAAATTTTGATAAGGTAATTCAAAAAGAGTTGCAGCAGTACTTTGCCAGGGAGATGCCAGAAATTCAAGGTGGATATGGGAGAAGATGTGGAACCTGGGATATTATTACTAACATCAGAAGGATCTTGGATGAAAGCAGAGAATACCAGAAATATATTTACTTGTGCTTTATTGATTATGCAAGGGCTTTCAACTGTGTTAACCTAACAAACTGTGAATAACGTTGTGACAAATGGGCATTCCAGAACTCTGAAATGTGCTCATGAGGAACATGTACGTAGACCAAGAGGCAGTCATTCAAACAGAACAAGGTTTTACTGAATGGTTTAAAATTATGAAAGATATGTGTCAGAGTTGTATCCTTTCACCATAGGTATTCAATCTGTATGCTGAGCAAATAATCAGAAAAGCTAGATGTTATGCAAAAGAACATGGCATCAGGATTGGAGAAAGTTTCACTAACAACCTGTGATATGCAGATGACACCTTTGCTTACTGGAAGTGAGGAAGACTTGAAGTACTCACTGATGAAGGTTAAAAGACTAGTCTGCAGTATGGATTGTATCTCAATATAAAGAAAACAAAAATTCTCACAATTGAACCGGTCACAATAAATGGATAATGTCAGGCATTCCTGGCCCTGGTGCAGGAGGAGGCAAGTCAAAGTTGGCTAAGAAGCCAGTCCAGTCAGAGAATGGAGGATCTCCTTGTCTGCTTTTCAGGTATTTCTAGATCTTCCATGTGGTGGGTAACTGTCAAGGGGAAAAAAGAGGAAGAACTTAAGTTGGGTTTATGCTGGGTGAATGACTTCATTACATATTTTTCCCATGTTGAAATGTTTTTGTTTTGTTTTGTTTTGTTACTGAGACACAAGAAAATGACCAAAATGTAAATGTGCAATTTTAAATCATTGAGTGGGATTTAAATAAAATGTTTCATGAAAACAGCCTTATATGAGTACAGTACCCAAGGCAGGGTACTTCAATAATTATTGAAATTATTTTTCAATAATTATTTAATAAGGAATCAGCTCCTAATTATTCATACAAATGATCACAAAGCTAGGAAAATACCTAAGTAATCTTGCAAATTAATTTTCAAAAAACACATTCTCCCTGAAAATTTTCTTCTGTTCCACATCATTTCTTCTCCTCTTTATCATACCAGATGCCAGGAATTGCTGAAATTGTCAAATTCAAAATAATCAAATAAATAAAAGTACTGCTCAGGGAGAAGAGTGGGAGGCTAAGAGCCAAATGGCCTGAAATTTGGAAATTCTGTGCCTTGAGAAGAATAGCTGGTTTATGCAGAGAAATACCACCCTAATGAGGAGCCCTGGTAGTATAGTGGATTATGAGCTGGGCTGCTAACTACAAGGTCAGCAGTTCAAATCTATCTGTCCATCCATGGGAGAAAGATGAGGCTTTCTGCTCCTGTAAAGATTTACAGCCTCGGGAACCCTCTACAGGGTTGCTATGACTTAGACTTGACAGCACACAACCACCACTACCGCCATCCACATGATGAAGGAGTCCTGGTAGTATAGTGGGTTATGTGTTGGACTGCTTACCCCAAGGTCAGCAGTTTGAATCCACCAGCAGCTCTCTGGGAAATAGATAAGGCTTTCTGCTTCTATAAAGATTTATGGCCTCAGAAACCTATACAGGTTCTCTATGAGTCACAACCAACTTGAAGACACACCACCACCACCATCCTAATGACCCTTTCTTTCAGGGTTAATGATCTACCCAGTCAATTCAAGGAAGAAATGTTTACCCTTGAGTACCTTCAGATGGTCTGAGAGATTGGTGTGCAGGGAACGTCTGTCGTAGTCCTCAATGGTCCATGAAGGATTCTTTTTTCTGTCTTCAATAGCTTCCTCCAAACTTACGTCACTGTATAATGGGTTATTCTTCAGAACTGATGACAGAGATGGTGGGGGAATGTCAGTAGCCACAGGGGCCTCCACAGTGGATCCCCTAACATGTTGCACAGTAATATTCTTCTCTCTCTGTGAAAAGACAGGCAGTGTTTTCTTACTAATGGAACTGCTCTGGTAGAGAATGCTATGTGAGATAACTCTATCTGAAAATATGCTTATATTCCTGAAAATCCAACAGATTAGGACAAAGAATAAAGACAAAATTCTAGGCTTTGACCATGAGTATTCCCACTAAATCTTTCTTTGTATGTTATCTTGCTCAGATTTACTAACCATTTATTAAAATGCTATTTTATACTACTGAGAAAGAACACTGTCCATTTCATGTAGAATTCTGGGCAAAACCCAGTTTTTCTATCACATTTATGTAGAGATTTGATAACATTATCCTTCCTTCTCTTTGTGCATTCCATGATTGATCAAAATAATGTTTAATATTACTTATTAACTCTTCAAAGTCAAAATGAAAAGAAATTTTATAGAAATGCCTTGGCAGTTTTATAATTAATTGTTAACTTTCATAAATAATCTCTCAGGGATATTGTTTTAGATAACTTTGAGGAGTAAACTAATTTAGCATTGTACTCTTGCATGTATCTATAGATTAGCTGACTATTGTTGTTGTTGTTGTTGTTGTTGTTGTTGTTGTCAGGTGCCATCGAGTCGGAACCGACTCATAGCGACTCCATGCACAGCAGAACGAAACAATGTTCGATCCTGGGCCAACCTCATTACTGTTGCCATGCTTGAGTCCATCAATGCTACCACATGGCCATTCCATCTCATTGGGGGTCTTCCTCTTTTTCTCTGACCCTCTACCTTACCAAACATGATATCCTTCTCCAGTGACTGGTCCCTCCTGACAATATGTCTGAAGTATGAGAGGTGAAGTTTGGCCATCTTGGCCTCCAAGGAGCACTCTGGCTGCACTTCTTCCAAAACAGATCTATTGGTTCTTTTGGAAGTCCATGGCATTTTCAGTATTCTCCTCCAACACCACAACTCAAAGGCATCAATTCTTCTACGATCTTCCTTATTCACTGTCCAGCTTTCGCATCCATATGAGGTTATTGAAAATACCATGGCCTGGGTCAGGCATACCTTAGTCCTCAAGCTGACATCTCTGCTCTTCAATACTTTAAAAAGTTCCTGTGCAGCAGATTTGCCCAAATGCAATACGTTGTCTGATATCTTGACTGCTGCTTCCACGAGTGTTGATAGTTGATCCAAGAAGAATGAAGTCCTTGATAACTTCAATCTTTTCTCCGTTAAGAAAGTTGAGCCTCTGAAACCCTATACTGTTCACTGAGTCGTAACTGACTCAAGGCACTTAACAACAACAACAACATATAAGCTAATGTTGTAAACTAACGTGTGTTTATATAGATGTTGCTGTTGTTGTGTGCTGTGGAGCCGACTCGGACTCATAGCGACCCTGCACAGGGTTTCCGAGGCTGTAAATCTTTACGGGAGCAGAAAGCCTCATCTTTCTCCCGCGGAACAACTGGTAGTTTCGAACTGCTGACCTTGAGGTTCACAGCCCAATTTATAACCACTACGCTACCAGAGTATATAATTTCCACCTTAAATAATTGTTTTATTGTTGCCCTTGAGTGAGTTCTGGCTTAAAGTGACTCTGTATAGGGTTTCTGAGGAGCAGTTGGTGAGTTTGAACCACCGATATTGTGGTTCAAACCAATCTTGCAGTTCAGTGATTCTCCTACAGTAACACATCAGGACTCCAAAAAATTAGTAGGAAAAACAACAGCAACAAAAAACCAGAAAACCATCATCTAGATTAAGCAGTTTTACTTTCTCTTTGGTCTTGATTTCACAGACTTCCTTAAACTCACGGTTTTTTCATACAGTTTAGAGATTAACTTGGAGAATTTCTCTGACTTTAGTACATTTTTTAATCTGCTCAAAATCAATTTATATTTGTAATACTAAAGTTCTTTTGAAATAATAAATCTTTTTGACTTACCATTTGTCTGTAAGATGGATAGCCTCATTATCAATGCTTCTGAATGGAGCAAAAATTAGTGTGCTAAGAAATTTAGATTGTTTGAGCTTCACACAATCCTGACTTTCTTCTTTCATTCAAGGCTAAACATGTTTGATCAGTTTTGGAGAGGGATGATTCTTTTGACTTTAGGAATTGGGTTTGTCAGTTCCCTTGGATGCTAGCCTAGGTACTGAGTTTCTTAAATAAGAAAGCTCTAGAAATAAGAAAAATACAGTTTCAGAGTGAAAAGGAAAATACACTCGCTAAAAGGAATCAATAAATAATCCTGGATATATATATTCTAAAAGATCATTTAAACTCTTACATATAACCTCATTCTTAAAAAATTTTAATTTTATCCTATAAAATTATACTATTTATTTTTGCTCTGCATGTCAATTTTATGTCTAGAATACATGTAAAAGGAAATTAATAAAATAATTTTATTAAGAATTTGGTGGCAGGATCAAAAGTACTACATAATGGTTGAGGTTCCTTTGCCTTTCAATAAATTTGTTCAAATAGGGGAAAAATAGCATATCTTATTTATACTTTGCTCCACATTCTACAGAATCTTCTTAACAGAAAACAATTCAACAATAATTATAGAAAGTACTATAATCAATCTATCTAGTATTGTAAAATAATCTGCAATTTAAAACATTAATTGAAAGTAACCATATCTTATCTAGACTTTTTTGTATTGTTTTTTAAATTTATCCCTATACACTTTTATCATATTTATAACTTTTATGTACATGCATATCCTGCTGTGGCACTGTAGGATAGTGCATTAGACCGCAAAGTTAATTTGAACCACAAGGTCAGCGGTTCAAACCTACCAGCTGCTCCTCATAAACCCAATACATGGTTGCTATGAGTTAGAACTGACTTGATAGCCCTCAACAAAAACATATATACACAAACTATAATTCAATGAAGAAAACAAAATAAAATACATTTTTTTAGACAAAAATAGAGAATATATAGTTGGAAGACTATTAGTGAATAACCTTTTTAAAAAGTACTTCATGAAGAAGAAAATTGATCACAGAAAGAAAGTTTAACATGCAAGAAGGAACAATGAGCAAAATTTTAATTGAGAAGCATATATGTAAATTTAGGCAAACACTATTTTATGGTAAAATATAAACAAAAATGATCATCAATTTGCAAATTTTAAAATAAAAGAAATAAAACATTGGTTATTGTTAGACAATAATAAATTTCTTTCTATTTTTTAAGGATTTTATTGTGGATTGAGTAAGAGTTTAAGGGGCAGATCATCAGTTTAATGTTCAACGAATCATAACCCCTGTTTCATTACAATGATTATAATCCCCTCCAGGTACCATCAGTTAATAGTATTTGTCTCTATTCATAAATTTGCTTTTTATTGGGTTATTTTAAGAAATTCCAATTGGAAGACATATTTCTAAAAATATAAAACTAGGCTACTGTTGTTATTGGTTGATAGATATCAAGTTCATTTCAGATCACAATGGTCCTATATGACAGAGTCATACTGCCCCAGAGAGGTTTGGTTTTGTTTTTCACAAAAAGCAGATTACCAGATCTTTCTCCTACAGAGCTGTTGGAGGCATTCAAACCTCCAGTGTTTTGGTTACCATCCTAGCACTTAACTGTGTGCACCACCAAGAATTCTTACAAATAGAATGTGTTGTTGTTGTTAGGTGCTATTGACTCGATACTGATTCATAGCGACCCTATGCACAACAGAACGAAACACTGACCAATCCTGGGCCAACCTCACAGTCGGTGATATGTTTGAGCCCAATGCTGCTGCCACTGTGTCAGCCCATCTCATTAGGGGTCTTCTATTTCTCTGGCTCTCCACATTACCATACATGATATCCTTATCCAGTGACTGGTCCTTCCTGACAATATGTCCAAAGCATGAAAGATGAAGTCTGACCATCCTGGCTTCCAAGGTGGATTCTGGCTGTACTTCTTCTAACACTTATCTATTTGTTCCTTCGGCAGTCCATGGGATTTTCATAACACATATGTATCAATTCTTTTATGGTCATCCTTATTCACTATCCAACTTTCACATGCATATGAGGTTATTGAAAATATCATGGCTTGGGTCAGGTACACTTTAGTCCTCAAACTGGCACCTTGCTCTTCAATACTTTAAAGAGGTCTTGTGCAGCAGATTTGGACAATATAATATGTTGTTTGATTTCTTGACTGCTAGTTCCATGACTGCTGGTTCCATGAGTTGATCCAAGCAAAATGAAGTCATTGACAACTTTAATCTTTTCTCCATTTATGTGGATATTGTTTATTGGTTCAATGGTGAGGATTTTTGTTTTCTTTACATTGAGGTCCAACCCATACCAAAGGCTGTGGTCTTTGATCTTCATCAGTAAGTTTTTAAGTCCTTTTCACATTCAGCAAAGAGGGTTGTATCATATGCATATTGCAGGTTGTTAATGAGTCTTCCTCCAATCCTGATGCCACGTTTTTCTTCATATAAACCAGCTTCTCATATTATTTGCTCAGCATACAGGTTGAATAAGTATGGTGAAAGAATACAACATTGTTACACATCTTTCCTAATTTTATACCATTTGATGTTCCTGTGTTCTGTTTGAACAACTGTTTCTTGGTCTATGTACAGGTTACTTGTGAACTCAATTAAGTATTCCAGAATACTCATACTTCACAATGCTGTCCATAGCTGGTCATGAGCCACAGAATCGAAAGCCTTTGCATAGTCATTAAAGCACAGGTAAACATCTTTCTGGTATTCTCTGCTTTCAGCCAAGATCCATCTGACATCAGCAATGATATCCCTAGTTCCACGGCTTCTTCTGAATCCATCTTGAACCTCTGGAAGTTCTTTGTCAATGTATGGCTGCAGCCATTGCCATATTAGCTTTAGTAAAATTTTACTCACATGGTATATCAATGATCAAATAGAATATATATCTTCTAAATTCATAAAATCAGAGGGAAAACATTAAGGAAAGTTACTAAACATATAATAATATCATAAAATTTAAGCAAAGAAGCATTTAAGGAAACTCAGAAAAAC